TTACAAACAGCAGAGGGCAGTATAGGACACGGAAAGGCCTCAGTGGGCATGCCGTAAAAGGGAATGTGTTGCTGAGCACATGCCGTAAAGTAAGTGTTGTTATTATGTGTCTGCCGTAGACTTGGCATTCTGGCTAAAACGGCAGCAACTTTCCCTCTGCTTCAAAGGCAAATTAATACTTAGTCCCCTGAATCTGGAATAATGTACAATTCACAGCATAGCCTCACAATGTCAGGAACTTTTCATCTACAGATTGCTTTGGTCTGGCTTTACTCTTCACTGATTGGTTGAAGAAACTTTGAATTTATTGGCTATGGAAATCAGAAGGAGGGGCTCATTAACCGCGAATATTCACATGTATATTCCATAGACTGTATATATAAATGGATGTAGGGTCCGTGACGTCACCCATAGGATTCTGCAGAGTTGCCGAGAAGCCCTTAGTAGGCGGAGTCGGCCACTAACGGCTCGACAGTGGCGTCAGAGTTCCACTCCCGCCTGCTCCAAATAAGGGCAAAGAGGCGGAGCCGAGGCGGGACCTGCTGCCTCTGAGCTGGAAGTAACAGAGCTAGCTCAAGCTACCAAGCTAAGCTAACATGCTCCCCATCTGCACACTGCCGTCGCATTGTACGTTTCTAAGGTAAGCGGACATGAGACTATTCAGCAAAACTATAAATAATAATCTAAGTTATTGAGTTTTTAGCATAATACTTCAGAATCTTAAAATCCCTTAACGTTTGTATGCAATGTGCTAAATGCAACACTGGAATCAAGCAAATATTAATATGTTTGCATGACATTAGTTATTTATATTTTGCCATCACTTAATTATACGTTTAATACATTTAAGTTAAGCTAAGGTGCATGTGATGATAGCTAGTTAGTGCTCTTACCTGTGAGGCCTCCTCCAAACTGCATTATAACCAGACTGTATCATTAAAACTATAAGTACCAGTTCTAGATCCTTGACTTTAGACAAACAATTCAAAAGACAAAATGTATTTAAAGACCAATCTTTATTTGAAGGTGCCTCTTAACCTGAGATATTAGTTATACAGTAATAGTATTGACAATCTAAAAAAACTGAGCAACTCAACGGTTCACTTTTATATTTCTTATTGTCTAAAGCATTTATTATTTTCATTTTCCCCTCTCATATTCAGTGTGGATGGATTGAGACAGCGTGGTGTCCAGAGAGCTGCAGAGACTTCAGGGAGAAACCTCCGTGTGATGGACGTCCTGTCTGTTGGTTTGGAGAGGACTGAGGGTCTTTCCTCTGTGAGGAGGATCAGACCTGATGGAGGAGCCCATGCATAGCTGATACCACCTGCACAGGCCTTGTCTGTCACTTTATTTGACTAAATGTGTTTACTTATACATTTAATAGGTTTACACCTTCTGTCCATATGTGCTTTTTATTTAAAACATGTTTGATTAACTTTTGGTTCACATTTCAATAAATTGAATTTGTATTTGCACTCCTTTTGTCCATTATTCTTACTGAAAATGTTAGATTACACATTCACATCTGACTGAAGATTGGCCCCATTTATTTGCGTTGCAAACTCTGCGGTACAAGGGACATGTTGTGAAGCTCATAAAGTGAGGCAAATAGAAATAATCAGCTGATGGAGTGTAGATGTGGAAATAGGTGCATTCGATCAGCTGACTGTGTTTTCACAATAAAAGTAGTTTCTTAGTGAATGTCCTGTACTGGTCTTAACATCTCATAACATCAGCTTTTAATTTTCCTATTGGATGTTTTTCTTGACCCTCGGAGAAAGAGGAGATGCTGAGTCGTGTCTTTCAGGCATGTCCTTTCCTAACAAAAATTACAGGAAACATAAAACATATTATTGCAGAACAAGTGTGTTATTTATGAAAGAGGTGTGTTTGTGTTTAGGGGCTGTAGATATAATTATTTTGTAATTGTAATGTTTTTTTTTATTTCAACAGTGAGCTACAAAGACAATCAGATTATGAATGAACAGTATGAAATTCATCAACATTGAAATGTATTTTATTATCAAAATAATATTTAACTGTTATCAAAACTTAGTGCAACTGTAGAAGCTTGCTCTGTTGTCTCACTGAAAGAATAACTTTTACCACGTTTTTACAGACAATATTGAGAGATAAATAGCAGTTGTCACTATGCGTTAAATATCTTTGCCTTCAATACCTTAAATTAGAAAGCTGACAGTCATATTGCTTGTTAACATCTAAATGTAACCCTTTGCATGGAAAAAACCCTCAACTTCACTGATGTGTAGGTGATCTAGTATTTAGTATTGTTTAATGGAATGTATATCAGTGTATTAAAGTCAATACTTCATTTATTTAAACCAATATCTTTCTTGATTCTTTGTACAGTATGAAAAAAGAGTATTTGTACCTGTGCTGAAGTTCACTGCTGTGAGGAGTCCAGTTCTGTCTCTCACTCTCTGGTCCAGCCTGTCTGCATCACCTGCACACTTTAAACAAACAGATATATATGTAAAGTACCATGTGTACAAACAATATAACTTATTATCTTCTGTTGAACATGTTGGATTGTGTATTGTCCGAGTCAGGGTCCTTTTACTTTTACTGGTCAGCTTTCTGTCCCCAGAGTCAGAACTAAACATGGTAAAGCAGCATTCAGTTATTATGCTCCAAATATCTGGAACAAACTCCCAGAAACCTGCAGGTCCGCTGCAACTCTTACTACTTTTAAATCCAGGCTGAAGACTTTTCTTTTTGCCGCTGCTTTTAATTGAACTATTCACATCTTAAACTGCACTGTAACTTTTAACTTTTATCCATGTTTTTTCTTTTAATGTTTATTTTATTATCTTTTCTTTTTAATGACTTTTTTAAATGCCATTTTTAAAATGTCTTCCATTTTTGTAAAGCACTTTGAATTACCTTGTGTTGAAAGGTGCTATATAAATAAACTTGCCTTGCCTTGCCTTACTGTAACTTTGGAAGTTGTGTTACCAATGCTTACTGTTTATTTGATACCAATTTGGTAATGCAATTAATAAAAACAACAAGGTTTGGGTTCGTTCTTCAGATGACTGTGATGTTAACGTGTAAGCTCAATAATGAACTCCAGCTCAACCAACCATATTGTAATATCTAAGTAATCATCTTGAAATATGACATTAATAATTGTAATATACACACATCTTATTGTGAGGTTGATTTCACATACACTACTTCGACGTTAGCTTGTCTACATACTCGAGCATAGCCAATTTAAATTAACCTTAGCGATGCATACAGTTCCTACCTACATAATAAAATATCTCTTTAAGTTACAAGGATGACCTTATTTTATCAACCTCAAACAGAAGCCTTTTGTTCTCCAGTATTATCCCACTTAACGCTTAACACTTGTCTATTTCGTTTTAACCTTTATATATACGGTCTATGGTTTTAAGTTAACTTGGAGGCTACGATTAGCATCGTTAGCACCGATGTAGCTACCACTCGCTTACACGCTAACCCAAGCCTTAACATTCATTACGTAGCTGATTAAAATCATAAACACAAAAATAAAGTACTCGAATTTCACTTACCGCAAAACGGCATTCATGCACCGTCTGTTTTAACCGCAGAGCGAGTCACAATAGTCCGATATATAAGCATGAAGAACAAACAAACACGGCCGGGGTCAAGTTGTGTTCCCTGGATGAACTGAGCAGGCAGTCCCTGTAGCTTCACGGAGACGGAGCAGCTAGCAGAGAGACAAAAAGCTAACAGCAGCAGTCACTTGACAGAGCTGTCACTCAATGTGACCACGCCCTAATTTATGCAAAAACTTTAAGACCTAATATAAATAAAAGGGTCATGTTAGAAAACAATTCACTCACAGATTCATAATCATGAAGGTGGAATCTAACTATATACATAATAAAATGTATTGCAGCCAGGGCTAGAAACGTTTTTTTTCAGCTGTGAAATTGGGCATTTTAACATGGGGCTCTATGGAAATTGCTCCTTTCTGCAGTCATCGCCTATCGGCCAATATATGAACTGCAGTTTGTGGCACTTCCGTATTGGCGTCCCGGCTCTTCCCCAGAGTTTGCCGCTTGGTATATTCGCGCGTATGTTGGCGCGTATATTGGCGCGTATATTGGCGCGTATTTTCGCGGAGGTCCGTATATTCGCGCGTATAAAGGCTGTTTAAAAAAAAAAAAAGGGCGAAACATACGTGCGTATTATGGCACTTTGGGCTTTCCATAATCAAGAGAAGAGAGCGAGCGGCCCCGTCGAGGGAGTTTACCATGGATGTTTAATAGGAGTTTACGGAGCAGATGAAAAGACACAGAAAGACAGAAGCACAATAACAAGTATATGTAGGTGTTTTTCTTGTAAATAACCGACGGTGTCAAGAGGAAGAAAAGTCCCTGCCATGAGAAAACTCAAAATCCATTTTCCAAAATCCGACACTAGAGGTGGTCTTAACGCACCGGCACCAATACAGTAGCCTATAATAAATATTATATATATAATACGTAACATATGTAATCACACACTTAGCGATATAGAACATAAATAATAAAAACGTAGGCCTACCTGGTTTAAAAAACTGTTGTGGTCATACTGTGGAATGAGTTCACACTGAAACGATTTCTTCATTCAAAATTTCGCGGGAAATTACATGTAAGAAGAAGGAGAAGAAGAAGAAGTCAAATAAGTAGTAGAAGAAGAATGAAGCTGGTGTGTTTCCCGCAGCGAGACACTACAATACTAATTGTGGGCTTATCATGTTGATTCGACCACAACAGAAAAAAACAAAAACCTCTCGCTCTCTCCAGAGGGGCAGCCGCAGGTCAGCCAAAAAGGGAACACGGGCCGTTGCCCGGGCAACATTAGCCCGTACCTGTGCACGTCCCTGACTTTCACTAAAGGAAATAATCTAAATATTTCTTCCACCACTGGAAAAACGATGCCTTATCTATACTACAGTACATATTGCAGTAGATATTTGTACGTGCCCCGCCTACGTGTGACGTCATCACGTCGTGGAACGGGATACTGGGAGAGCCGGAAGTGAGAGCCAGCAGAGATCCCAGTTTCTCCATCAACGCTTGAGGTGTGAAGGAACTACATCCACCAGGGGGATATTTTAATATTCCTCACTAGACTCAGGTCGGATCTACCTTTGTAGACGGTGAGTATTTTAACACTTCAGTTGGAGGATTAAAATCTACCTGTGGAAAAACGTCGCCACGCTCGCGCTGAGTCAGTTAGTCATTCCATGTTAGCTTTAGCCTGCTAGCTAACTAGGACAATTGGAACAGGAAATACCACAGCTAATGTTACCACTACCGCATTCTTGAAGCTATATAAAGCACATTTTCCGCTGTTCACTTCACGTTTCAATCCTCATGTGTCGACATAATTAATTACGAGGTGCACATCCTGTTTCCAAAGCCTGTTAATGAGCCTGAGGACGCAGACACGCAGAGAAATGTGTCAGAAAACACCAGACGAAATGCTTATTAAACTGCGTTTTTATCATTGAAAGTGGTTAAATTAACATGTAAAGAGATGATAGTGCTTTAATGCATGTGGCTTGACCTACTGTGATTGAAGCTCACTAACATTAAGCTAAGGTAAAGGTATTCAATGACACGGAAACAATGATAATTCATGGTCTGACTCTTAAGTACTCAGAGCCTATACTTAAGTAAAAGTAGAAATACTATGGTTTTAAAATACATTATAATTAAAAGTCCTCGTTTCACAACTGCACTTAAGTAGAAGTACATGCATAAGCAGCTAAATGAACTTAATGGGCTCGTTTCACTGTATCATAGAACATTACTCCTTTTTCTTTATCACTTACAAATACATGTCATATAAGATACGATAAGATTTACTCCATTGATCCCAATTTGGGAATTTTCACAGGTTTATTGCTGTTGGCAGGATGGTTTTCCTGTATCCGTCAGAGCTGAATGAGTCTGTTTGAGAAGTAGCTTTGCTGTCTGTCCAGATGCTTGTGTCATTTCTGGTGTCATTTAAATATTGTAGTTTTTCATTGTGGAGCAATTTTAGTTACTTTAAAAAAAGCATGTTTCATTACAGTACTACAGCATATCATACAAACATATCATGTCATTGTGAGTGTGGAGTATGACGTATAAAGTGTGCCTCTGAAGTGTAGTGAAGTAGAAGTATATGCAGAATTAAATGGAAATACTTATCAATCATTGGTCTAACCTAATTCTCCCTGTTATCCAGACTTTATTTACACATTAAGGCACTTTTTACTCCTCCTGCCTGCTCAGATATCTGGGTTTTGAGTTATGGGTGTGGTTTTGTTGTGGAAGATCCTCCTGTCTTCACATACTGAACGTTGTTAGGACTCGCAGGCCGCTGCTTCCTGGTCTGGGGACGTTTCCTCTGATCTCTCTCCGAGGTGAAGCAGCCACGTCTCCTGCAGACTCAGATTGAACACAGATGCTAATTGCCCACATTTAGCTGAGTCAGGAATTGGGATTACTACAGAAAGCTTTTGTTGCCATGTCACTTGAGATTACTGAGAAACAAACCACACTGTTCATGTAGTTCTGCAGCATCTCAGTTAAAATGCATGGTTAGGGTGATTCACCATGAAAGCAGCTGGTACAGATTCAGCATCAAAGCCGGAGAAACATGGAAAAAAGTGCCTGGAAAGTTGCTGCATATCAAAGGTGCAATCAGCTGTTTTAATTGAAATTCAGCAAAAATCTGTTCTGTGTTCTGTGAGCAGACATGGCTCTGTAAGGCAGGAGAAAAGGTGGCCCGACTTCAATACAATATACCGTCAACTTGCACAACAAACAAATCACAAAAGTTGCATATACTTTAGTTTGTTAAAAAATAAGTTTAAAAGAAAATTGCATTTTAATAAACAGTATAATCATAATTTGTATTGGTGCCTTTTTGTTAAGTTCACTGTTTGATTTGTTAAATTAGGGTTGGATCATCCAAAGTTAGTCTTTCTTAAATCCTCACGTTAGAGAAGCTGGAACCAGAGAGGGATGGTAGTTTCTGATTAATAAATGACTCATCAAAAACATATTTATCTACATTAGACAAATTGATAAGTCAACTTAAAAAAAGGAAACCTCCAGAGTGTTCAGAAGTACCGACATGGTGCTCTTTGGTTAGAAGAAAAAAGTGAAAAATACATATTTTAATATTGAAAATGAAACAATTCTGTCGACCTGAGCTAACTTAAAATGTAATATACATAATCAAAACATGCATTTAAGTCTCGGCTAGTCAAATAATCAAATCACAATATACATTTATTGCTGGGGTACAAAGAAGTTCTGTTAATCAATTTATATATTGTTTGCATTTTCATATATAGTTAGATAATAAAGGCTTTGACAGTCTGGAAGTTGTTGGTTAAGGTGCCTTAAAAGTGCTTCAATTTAAAAAAAAAACCTGCACAACCAATCGGGTCAAAAACAAAGCCAAAAAGATCCAAGGCACTCCACTTCCAAATGGGAAAAAAAACATTGAAAACATAATATTGAAATTCTCAAAACATGCTCATTAATGTTGAAATAGAGCTAACAGCCAACGTTGAGCACAAACGGCCATCTTGAAACACGGGAGTAATGGGTTGAATAAATAGTAAAAAGCTGCAGTTAAACTTCGAAACACAACGTCCACTATCTCGCAGCTTTCTTTAGCTTCAGAAATCGTATCCCTCCGTCCGTATAAAGTATATTTTCTTGTTTTTCAGTGTGTATAAGATTGAAGATGTGGAGGGCATCAGCAGGACAGTCCGTTAAGGTTGCGCAACAAGACGACGGAGGGGACGACTGGGAGACGGACCCTGACTTTGAGGTAAACAACGCACACTTTACCCTTCCTCCATTTCCTCTTTGAGTCCTCGTCTCGTCTCCATGTCCTTCCCTTGCCATTAAAATGTTTTTTCCTGGATTTTTAGAATGACGTGTCGGAGAGGGAGCAGCGCTGGGGGGCCAAGACGGTGGAGGGCTCGGGACATCAGGAGTCCATAGAGTGAGAAAGACAATCATTTTTCTCTTAGCATTGAGTTTAGGCTCGGGGAGTAACTGGATTATGTAATAAGAATTAAAAAAAAAACTGTATTTGATACAAGTACATTAACCTGTTAAGCCTGCAACATCTTGCAAGAAACAGCGTCTGAGGGCTTCTTAACATTTAACAAACTATGAATGTTTCATACCCTCTTAACGGGAAGAAACTCAGCTACCTGACGATATTAACAATTTTTACCGAAATAAAATACAAGTCTTACGCCGAGCCTCTGAATTAGCACTAAGCAAAAGAGTGCTAATGCACTTAGCACATAACTCACGGTAGAAATATTTTATACTTCATCGGATCTGCACAAACAAGATATTATATGAAAGCTGAGATTCCAGATTTCAATGGTATAAGTATCATCACTCCACAACCAAAACTCGCTGCAGCGAAAGCAAGCAAAGCCAAACACAACTCCACTTTACGTGGCCAAAGCGGCAAATACGTCTTACCTTTGCTATTTTCTGATCAAAAGTTGTGTTCAATGGCATTAAAACGCATATAAACGCTGCTGAAGGTTAATCCAATGTCTCTGTCACTTTGAAATGATTACTGATAATCCATCTTCATATTTATGGCAATAAGCCTAGTTTTCAGTTTTCAGTTTTCAGAGCTTAACGCAGCTTTAGGTTTGGGAGTACTTTTCCCCGTACTTTTCTTATTAACTTATGGCAACACAAAATAAAACATGGGAGCGGTGGAGATGAGGAGGTGTCGGCGTTCTGGCGATTTACTTGGAAGGCTTTAGTAGAAGCTGCTGGGAGTCCCAGAAGCTTCTACTGAAGCCAGTCCCCAACTCCGGGGACTTCCGGCCGGGGACTTCGGGTGGCAGTATACGCCGTGAAGTTGTTTGCGGTCTGCCAGTAAACCCAAAGCAGAAGAAGACGAAGTGACGTCAGCGGCTCATTTGCGTAATCTTCCCTCGGGGAACTTATTCCGGTGTGAACGCGATCTGTACTTAGTGCCCTGGGATAATAAGTGCCGGGGCACTGAGTGCCGGCACTAAGTACGGCAAAGTACTTGGTGTGAACGCGGCTATTGGGTAATGTTTAGATGGATTTAGGAACTTCCCCTCGATTCTATTGACTCTAACGGTTCAAAAGAGGTGTCAATCACCAAAATTGACCAATGGGTTCCAGAGATATGGCAAATGCACCCAAATGACCCCAGAGGTGTTTTTTTGTTGCTAAACCTCTCTAAAAAGGTCAAATGTCACTTGTTTTGCATCAATCTTGATACAGGGTACGTATTATATGTTATAGTTTGGATTCCTAAAGCTTTTAGTCTACTATCCCATCATTCATAATGGCAGCCCACTGCTCCTAACACTAGGATGGGTCAAATGCAGAGAAACCGTTTCGTTACATAGTACCTGTACTACGTAATGACAATAAGTTGAATCTTCTTTATGTCAATGAAATCTTAGGTCACAGGCTCCTCCAACAGTGCAACACAATAACACAGATAAAATAGTGCAAGTAAATACAAATGAAATAGTGCAATAAGAGTCTATATACAAGTAATTGGAATCTAATATATCAGATAAATAACTTGTAAGTTGCAAACAGATCGATGTTATGGATGTTCTTTCAAAAGTTCAGGTGTTTAACAGTCTGTTGGCCTGTGGGATGAAACATGTGAATCATCTAAATGTGTCTCCTAACTTGTTTCCTCCTTGGTTTAGTATCAACCGCCTGCGTGAGGCGGTGTCCACGGAGCACACCTCTCAGAGGAAGAAGGAGCAGGACACCGAGCCCAAAGCATCCGACGGATACGGGGGGAAATTCGGAGTTCAGCAAGACCGCATGGACAAGGTGAGAGGGAGTCAAAGACAGGACAGTAATGGTTGCTGATCTACAGTATTGGGGAAGAAAGATACATTATGTTACATGTTCAAATATTAATACGATACGATAATACTTTAATGGAATGAAGTCTGAAATGTGACTTGCATCCCAGCAGCTCCATGTGTAACATCAACAGACAAATATCAAGACACAATACATGAAAAACAAACAACAAACATTTAACATAACATCACGATCACTGAGAGAAAACATGCTCAAAGAGCCTTCAGCGTGCATTTGATCTGGATTCAGCTCTGTGTTTACTGTGAGGATTGACTGGAGCACAAAGGATGCTTCAAAGGATGCTTCAAAGGATGCTTCAGTGAATTTATTGAATCTCCCATTAGATGGTAGCAGTTCATATTCGCTGATCAGAACATGGTTTGGGTCCGAGATGATGTTGTTGGACAGCCTCACTAGGTTATTATGGCATGCTGAGTCATGTTAAAGAAAAATGATAAATTCATCTCACAAGTCTCCTATTGTGCAAAACCCACTTCTTCATGTCTCTTCTACATCAACATGTGTCCCCTCTTCTTCATGTCTCTTCTACATCACCATGTGTCCCCTCTTCTCCATGTCTCTTCTACATCAACATGTGTCCCCTCTTCTCCATGTCTCTTCTACATCAACATGTGTCCCCTCTGTGGAAAGAGACTCTGAAAGTTTCAGGAAAAAAGATTGTCTCTCTTTTTGTCCTGATCCATTTATATAAAAACCTGTCTGAAAATGAGCTGATCAGATTTTGGCCACTTTATGATGTCATAACGATTTGTTGGCTTGTGTAACCATTAGCCAATCAGCAACCAAGGTAACCCCCCCCCCCCACCTTATCACCTGAATCTCCTCCTAGAGCACCATTGTGTTCTTTTTAACCAAATCTCTCTCAGAGGGGCGTGGGGAGGGGCTCCTTATTTTCATCTAAAGTAACTGACAGAGAATCAGCACTTTAGAAACAGGGCTGAAACAGAGGGGATTGTGGGATGCTGCAATGATCTGTTTGGTGTTTGGAGCCAAACACTTCAGAGACATGTTTTGTATATATCTGAGACCTATGATATGAAAAACAGTATAATAGGGGACCTTTAATACCCTCAGTGTGTGTGTGTGAACAGGCTGAGTGTGTGTTGGCTGTTTCCCACTCGTTAATCTCTGTGCCGTGGTCACTGCAGCTTGAATGTGATGACCGTGCGCTGTTTACTCCACACACTGTTAGTCTGTGATGAGTCAGGTGTCACCACTTCCTCAGTTTCCAGCTCCACTGCTCTTTCCCTGACCCCTCCCCTCCTCCAGAGTCCCCTCACTGCCCTCCTTATGTGTTGAATGGTGTTTTTCTTCTCAGTCTGCTGTGGGTCATGACTACCAGAGCAAGCTGTCCAAGCACTGCTCCCAGACGGACACTTCTAAAGGCTTCGGAGGGAAGTTCGGAGTCCAGGCGGACCGCGTCGATCAGGTAATTCAGTTAGAAATCCTTTATTTCATGGCAGTTTACAGACTAACATATTCCAGATTCCAGATTCAAGGCTTTTATTGTCATTCGTACATAGCTACAGTGTAGTTATGTCGATGCAAATCTTAGGTCACAGGCTCCTCCAACAATGCAACACATAAAACAGATACAATAGTGCAAGAAAATACAAAAATAGAAAGAAGTAGTGCCATAAGAGTCTCTATACAAAGTGATACAGCACCAACGAAAAGTAACAAACAGAGGCGAGTTG